AGTTAGACACAGGAATTTTTTTTTAATTGTGAAAATTCTATTTTCTTCTCACATTTGCCACCTTGAAATCTGAGAAACAGCCATTAGCAGAAACATGCAGTTAGTATTACCCTGAAAAATAAAAGTCACAAAATGCATGGAAGCACTGCCTTGTTCATACCTGGAGAACACTGATTTGATTATGCCTCTTATCTCTTGTTTGTAACATATTTTGACTACATAGATCTGTGCTTTTATTTATTTTTTTCCTTGTGATTTCTTTATTTTAGACATGTAAAATACATTTATCATTTCTCACGTTACATCCAGGTGTCGGATTTCGAGTTCTTCTATTCTGGTATGCCTCCCATCCATCTTGTATTGCAAAGTTATGTGAAGACTTTCAATTCCTCATATCCAGTCCTCTTCTCAGATTTCAAGAGCAGCAAAAGGGCCATATTCTCAAAGCCATAAGACTATTTCTAGGTAAAGTTTAAACTAAGATACGTCAGCAAGTTGGAACCACAAAATTAAATTACATAATATTCTTATCAGAAAAGGATAACTATTCACTGACAAATAGATATGATCAATATAAACTTGAATAGCAACATATTTGTGGATTTATTTCAAAGGCTATCTTGTTTAAATGATCTTCAGAAATTCCTTCATAATGCAAGTAGAACTAAATGCCTGATGCAAATGATTTCCTGCAAGTGTTTGCTTAGATTTTAAAACAAAATTGCTTCATTACTGCTTGTTACTTTTTTCTGTTCATTTACTATAGTTATTCAAATAAGGGTTGTCTTTCTGCTCAAAGGCAAAATGGGACTAAAGGCAAGTGGTCTTACCTCTTCTCCCCTTTCCTCTATAAATTTGATTAAACTTGTATGGATTTCTTGCAAGCATCTGACTCCAAAAAAAGCTGTGGTCACTATATGTAAAAGTAGGAAAAGTATGCCAAAGGGCTTTAAGGCTCCATATCCCCATCTTAGTTTTCATCTTCTGAAATGCGAGGACAACTTTACAAGACAGTGAAGAGTTTTGTTACTTGAGTAGCAGAGCTTGGGGAGGAACTTGAAGATCCATGGATGCATGTAAACCCATCCTGAACTGGGTTTGTGTCCAGGTCTCTCTACCAGACTACAGTAAAAATTATGCTGAAATCTCATCCTTGGCCAATTGAGAATCTGCAGGACTGTTTTCTATTACTTGGGTGGCTTGCATTTAATTTGGGGGAGAGGACCTTTGGGGCTGCACTCCACAGATCGCTGCAGCTGCTGCTACTGGACAGTGCATCTTCCCTCTCCCCATTACCTTTCCACAACTAAGAGTCTGTCAGGCTGGGTTCTGACCAGGGTTTTCTTGGCAGTTTGTTGGATTTATCTTCTTCACAGAGCAGTGATGCCATGCTAGGTCATGGGTAAGCCCTGATCTCTCATATAGTTGGATCCTGATGACACGTAATCAAATGCAAACTCAAAATTCCATGTAATTATTACACAGGGATAATTTGTCAGTATAACACAATTTCAGTTAAATAAAAAAGACTGTGGCCAGATATAGGATGCAACTATAAGAAATGCACCAATGAATGCATAAACTTCTTTCAGTTAATGGCTTGACACGACCCAGTCCAAAGGCTCAGGAACATCCATTTCTTGGAGCTCAGACACCTGAATTGTCCATGGAGCTGCATGCTGAATGAGACACAGTTGCTCACTGCTGTTGTTAGAAAGAATTTGTTTGATGTGAACTCTAAAAATAAGGAAATCCCAAACTCTAACTCTTTTTACAGGTATCCTGTGACAACTGGCAATGTATGATGTTATGACACAATGTACTTTAACTGTGTCATGGTGAGAAGAATTCCTGAGATTCCTGATAATGGCAGCTGGTTATACTTAGGAAAGAAACACATCTTGTTTTTGTTATTCACCACTAACTCTGGGGAGGAAGACAGCATCTTTCATACACTTACAATTGGTTCAAAATTAAATTCCTTGGAATCAAAAACATTGAATAACTTATGTCAGTGTCTGACAAGGTAATGTATGAAGGACACAGTTCTACCTTTAAAATTAATCATCCTTAAACAAAACAAAAATAATTTGATGGCATACTGATCTCCCAGACACTGTTAGTCTTCTACAGCAAAGAGAAAATGAAAGGATTTTAAACAGTTTATAACCATAGAGGGAAAAATCCATCTGAGGGGAAAACAAAACCAAACCATCACACAGCAAAAACTTTTATCTCTGGCACTGGCAGTCCCTCAGCTAGTCCTTCACAACTTTGGATTCAGGAAATCAGGGATATTATGTGAAATGCAGCAATCCACAACAAGGTCTTAGGTACATGTGCAGACACAATCCAGCAACAAGGTCTTAGGTACATGTGCAGACTTGTCTGAAGGTGCCAAAGAAATTAAATCACATGAGTTTAGGCAGCCAAGGTCAAGGGAAAAGGGAATTTACAACTTCAGCATGTGTCAAACTTGCTCATCAAAGTTATTACTTTCTCCAATTACCTTTTCTCCTATAGACCTTCTGCAAGAAATGGTGCCTCCACTCTGGCCTCAAGGGTAGTTGCTGAACTTATGAAAGCCTGTGACAGTCACCCTCACACAGCCTTTCTAAGCATTTAGAGGGCATTTTGTGACCTTGTGATGTGTGGAAGACACATAGAAAATGTGTTTGAGTCCAGCTTGCCTAAAACATACCTGTGCCTTTAGGGCTGGCTATTGGCTTGTGAAGTTCACAGTAGGGAAATGACATGCAGAAATGTACCGTGGCTGATTATCTCATTAAGAATAAAAACTTTAAATCATGAAGTAATAAATTCTAACCTTACTGCAATAAAACATTTGCAAAGTAAACAACACACGAAGCATGAATATTACTGGATGATTTGGACATAATTTATAATTAACTTATTGCTGGCAGCACTACCATATAAAATGAGACAACATTCAACACATTCAAGGCAACATCCTTGTATGCTCTAAAATTAAGAATTATAAAGATAGTTATCCCAGAATAATTATATCAAAGTTTCACTGGCACTTTGGACAAGTCTGTGGTAACACTTCAGCTTAATATAGTGACCAATTAAAACTAAATATTTATTTAACATATTGTTGTTGTGCAATATGGATTTAATAGTATGATCTGTAATCTTGGTGGTTTTCATTAGTCTGTAATCTTTTACTGTAATTTATCTAAACAATGTAAGCATTAAGATTGTAGGACTATGACCAGCATACTAAGGTCAAGTCTGTTAGAAAAAACCACAGAAGTTTGTATATTAACAACTTCTTTGAAATGTGCTGCAATTTATAAACATTACTCAGGAATGCAATTATTTTTCAGTGCCATGAATTTCAATACAACTACTTGCAAATACTGTATGAGAGCAAAAGTGTTCAAGGGCCTTTGATTGCAAAATACAGCCAATTAACTAGTGGGATAGGTTCCCTAGACAGTGGGGAGTATCTACTCCTGGTAGTGTTTAAGAGCAGATAAAAGAGGATCCATCCAGGACACATGGAGGTGGAGCTGACCCTGCCTTTTAACAGGGATCTCGATTGCCTTATGCTCCAGGATTGGCCTTCCACCGTTCCTTGTTTCACTGCACTCCTTCCTTGGCCTGACCCTTTATCTGTATTTAGCTTTCAGCTCATTCTTGAAGCCTCAGCCACCCTTACACTCCAGAAACCACACAGATTGACACAATGAACTGGTGTAATACTCCTATTCTGCAAGCGCATTATTTTCTTTTGCTTCCCTCTTCCTTGTATTTTAGGGAGCATACACTTCCCCATGTGCCTGCATGGATACGGGTAAATTCCAACCACCAGAAGGTCCCACTCCTGACTAGCCTTAAAATTACCCCAAAATAAATGTCTGGTGACAAATGTTCCTTAATAAAATTGTATGGATACATCTCACAATGTCATCTCACAGCTGTGACGCAGTGGGCAATAGCTGAGACTGTACAGTACACAGAGGTGACACATTTTTTTCTAAAATAAAAGTATGAGTAAATATCTAACAGCAACATTAACTTACATTATGTCATCAGTTTTGAAGAGGAAATTACTCCATAGATTAATGAGGAATTCTGCATGGAAGTCAAAGTTATGATGTAGTCTTATAGCATTAATCAAGAGCTAAATGTGATCTGACCTACTTCAAACAGCCCAGCCTTTAACAGAGAGAAGATTAAAAAAAGGCAGAGTATGAGAGTCCATATTTATCGCTGATGTAACACCAACAAAGCCAACAGAATCCCTTGAAGTTCTGAGTGCCTCAGAGCACCACATGGCAAGTGCCACAGATCATCTGTAATCTGCAAGGTATGATGGATTGAAAAAGCAATGACATTTTCCGCTCCTATTTAGGAAACATTATACTAAGAAATAAAATCTCACAAGACTATATTCCAGAAAAATGTTTATTACCATGCAACAATGGATGTATCAATTCACTAAACAATTTTACAAGTTCAAATATGAACTCATTCTAGGAAGTCCTCTGGAATGAACAAATCATAAGGTTTTCTAGAAAAACTGATTTTTTCTATATTGTACACAGTAAACATAATTATATTTTGTATAACTCTGAAAAAGCAGTGAGAAATTAAACAGGCTATATTTTATTTTCTCAAAACCCTAAAACTTGGAGATCATTCATCCATCTGATCAAGTCAGACTTATTAGGCTGATCCCCAGACACAGTGATTCCCTCTTCCTTGGTGCTGACACCAAACACGATAGTGTTCCCAGGCCCCCCTGGAGCTACGTTCTAAAGAGAGAGACATTAATAGATAATGACTGGGAAGAGAACACATAAATACCTTTTAAAAAATTAACAAACCTCAATTTCCTTGGACACATGAGCAATAAGAAAAAAACCAGTATCTTTTTAGGAAATACCTCTAAAAATTCCTTAGTCATGACTTGCTTCCGGCTTCACACTCCATGACAAGGGCCACTATTTTCTTGTGATGTTGACAAGTGTCCACCCTGGCCAAAGTTCCTAGCCACTGACAGCCCTTCACATTTAGCATTTTCAGTCACTCTCATCAGGCTCTCTTAACCAAGGGCTGCATTTCCAAAAGAACAAGACCCTTGCCAACAAACTTGAAATTCAGCAGTCCCACAGAAGGGGGACTAAAGGAGCTGTTACTTTCCCACTATTTCCAGAACAGGTCTGTGTCACACTGTTTACATCATGCATCATTCATCTGCTGTGATGAAATGTAACCCTGTGTTTTAAAAAAAGACTTTGCAACAGTGAGGATACTCTATCTTTGTGAGAAGCATGTCACATATTTTCCATAGGCATCAACTGCTCCTGCTTCTATTTAAATCTGTGTGGCCCTCTTCAGAGGGCATTATTCCCTCCAGGAAGGCCATTCAGAAGGTGCTGAGCAGAAGGAGGGGAGAAGCCAGGATGGCAGCAGACAGCAGCATGGCTCCCGAAGAAAAGCCGAGCGCGGCTCCTGTGAGAAGGGCTGTCCACAAGATCCGGATGGCCAGCCAGGTCTTCAGCTTGGCACGAGGCTGGCAGCAGTGGGCATCTGACCACCATGGAAAGCAAGAGCAAGAGCCCTCTGGATGGGTCCCCACTGCAGAAAGCTCATCAGCTCAGCCTGTACAAGAAAGTTCCTTTGAAAAATGGCAAATTCCATCCGTCAAGAGGGACCAAGAAAAAGATGATGAAAAATCCTTAGCAAAGGATTCAGTGACAAAAAGAGATGCTGAAAAAAAATCAAGGGAATCAGATGAAGACCTCAAAATGTTCAGCATTAAAAGCAAAGAGGTGACCAAAACAGTTGTCAGCAAAGCCTATGAACGAGGAGGCGATGTCAGCCTCCTCAGTGAAAGATACGAAAACAACAACAGCAGCTCCGAGATGACCAAACTCAAAGAAGAATCAAATGCTATTGACAAAATTCTTAGCAACAAATTACCTTCAACCATAAGGAGGAAGTGTTCAAATGTAGTATCAGAGATGACCAAGGGCTGGGAGAAGATGGAAGACGAGAACAAAGATGGGGCCAAGAGAGAGCTGCTGCTGAAGTGCCATGATGACAGCCTGGATGCCCAGGACAGTGGCTATGGGGAAGCAGAGGACAAGCTCGAGCCGGAGGACAGTGACCAGGAGGTGACAGCTGTGAGGATTAAACGCCCTGTCCCATCTCTGTAAGTAAAGCATCTTCATTACATCAACACAAATGGCAGAAGGGCACAGCTTTCCATGAGGAAAATGGTGGGGGTGGGAGGATAGTAGGAAGTGGTCAAAGATAAATTATTATTCTTGATTTAGAAGAAATTAATCAAAATTCAGGAGACCTTTTGCTTATCACTCCGTGCTTAAGTAGTTACTCAACAACATCGGACTATGTACCTAATACAAGATTAGGAAAAAAGTTAGGAAGTTATATTTGGGACACGTTGATTATATTTAATTTTCACACTGGATTTACTAGTTCATCAAATGAACTACTTATTTCTTAATACTTCAGTCCATGTTTCAGAACTTTTACCTCATCAAGAGCCTCTAGCTATTCATTCATCTCAGAAAACGTTGTCTAAATCAATATATTTGACAAGTAATATTTCCAAATTCTCATTCATTATTTTGCTTAGTATTAATTGTAAATACTCTCAGGAGCAATTTGAAGTGAATGTCCCAAATTAATATAGCAGGAATTACTTCCACATACTTCTTACCAAAAGTTGGAATTCCATGAATTTGGAATCCCTCAATTCAAAGAAAGTAAATTCCCACAGTATCTTGAACCTCGAGTTCATACCATATCCCAATCACATTTTCAGAAATTAAAAACTGGATCAGCACTGATGATGAAAAACTGATGAAAATGCCATAACAGACTTTGTGATCCCTGTGCAGACAGGCAGGCAGGCAGGCTGTATCATGGTCACTATTTTGGTTTTACACCTCACTACTGATGAGCATTATCATGACCATTAGACTGTGACTAACACACTTATGGATTTCAACTATGCAGTACCTTTAAGCACAGCTATCTGAACACACACTCCCAGAGCTATTTTAACTATTCAAATGGAATTAGAATGATGCTTTGCTGTACAGCTGAGCAGTCAGCTCCTGTAAGAAGAAAATGGTTAACAGCCCAAGTGAAAAAAGCTCCCCAGTAACCTAGGGCTTGAAATTTTTGGTACCTGCTTTTGGCAAGGACTGTGTTCACCATCCTTTCACAGAAGTTATGACCTCAAAACAACGATTCCATATATACAGTGGAAAAAATATACATTTGCAGCACTTATCTGTAAACAACTTCAATTAAAACAATTTTTTTTCAGTTTCAAATGTTGTAGTAGAAACCAACTATCTAGCTTCCATTAAACCAACTGTCTCGTAGACCAACTATCTAGCTTCTGTTAAACTTTTCTTATATTTTCCTCATATGTATAATTTTAGTGCTATTAACATGAAAAAGGATTGATATGCCATATTTACTGTGATTTAAATTATTGAAATAACACCCTTTATGTTACCTATAGCTCTTTCTTCCACTGAAATCCAACACAGAACTAATATTCTGCACTTACAGTACTGCTATGAGGACTGAACTTTGTAACTATTCATTTTTTTAAAATTTATTTTACAGCCTCAGAACATAATATTTCAGCCTGCTATATTTATGAACCTTTCAATGTGGTTTAATCTTCTTCAAAAAGGCCATAAGTACACAGTTGCTAAAGCATATTGCCTATTTTCCTCTCCACATTCCAGGAAAAAAACATCAGTACAAGTATTTTGTTTTCCTCACATCAGCACCTTCATTATTTCCAGCTTCACTGCTTACTGGAATAAGGTTGCTTACTTAGTAGATAGCTTGTTGACTGGCATAAGAGACTCTTCTGAACTCTTCTGTTCATGATTAGAAGCAAAAAGGATGCAACAGAAGGGATATGAAACTCAAAACATTAAAATGGGATTCATACCTTTCCTCTACAGACAGAAACAGGGCAAATATGCTACATGGACCTAATTTGCCTAAAAGGTTAGGTCCTAAATCCTAAATGCATTTAGGATGTCATTCTGGTAAACAGGTTAACTTAGTTGATTGCTGGATGTAAAGCACTTCTTAGAGTGGGTAGAAGTTCAAAACCTTCACTTTGGGTGCACAATCCTTTGTGTAGGAGAATTAGAAACATGAGAAAATGCCTCTATGTGTACACAATTCATGTTTTAAACCTATCATTAAGCTAAAAAATGGCAAAAATAGCACTTCAGCAACTAGAAATGGTTAAATTACAAGCTGCATTAAAAAAGTAAGGTTTTTTTCAAGCCCATGTGAGGCACAATAAAAGCAAAAGGATAGATAAGATGGTTTTCTCAACCACTGAGAAGATGATTTGGATGAGGAAGGCAATAATAATCTGCTAGAAAGGAAGATTAGTTTTAGTGGAAAAAGGAGGTATTACATTCTAGACCACTAAATTAAAGTAAGTAACAAAGACTGCACAACCTCCTGCTGTCTCAGTGCCCCTCTCCTCTCCACTCAACCTGGGGAACCGAAGCTCTAGGACTTTGTCACTGCTCATGGTCCCTGGAGAGAAGGGGCAGCAGCTGGCTGTGGCTGAGGAATAAGCCCTCCATAATGATATCTACTCATAAACTCCACTGAGACTAATGGCATCACTTCTTCAAGGCAATTTTGATTCACTTAGGATTTTTTTCCCCCAGCCTTAACTGATAGCTTCCACATAGAGAGCTAGTGAAGCAATCTGAGCTTCAGCTGGAGTTCAGACTGTGCTGGTATGGGGTTTCTGTGACTTTTGAGATAGCCATAGGCTTCAGGAGACAAATTCCTTTGCATAGCCAAATCCTGTGCCCAGAGTTCATCTGACAATGAAGGCAAAATTCAGGTGAAGGGACAAAGGATCACAGCTCTCCCTTTCTCTGTATGACAATAGTTTATATAAAGCAGCATTTGGGAAACCAAATTGCCTAGATTTCCCCCACTAGTATATTTTAATGCTTTCCTGCCAACACCTACCTGTTAGTCATTTACACAAAATTACAGGCACAGACACGCTGCTTACTCTCAGGATGCTCTGTAGTCACACCACAGAAGAAAGGTGCACTTGGCAACAGTATGCTCAATTCTTCTGATGGTTTTTCACCAAATTGATAGGGAAGAGTATTTTGGAGCATTTTAAACACAGTTCCTCAATACAGCTAAGCCAATCTTAGGGCAACTCCACAGCTAATAAGGTAGTGCAGCTCTCCTAATTATTTTCCTATCCCTGGCACTTAGTGTTTGCAACTCTTACCCTAGCATAGCCCTGCCCAGTACTGGCCTCTTTCTGGTGCACTGATCTGAGCTAGGGACATCTCTATGACTTCTATTCTCTATTTCAACCAGCTTAGTAGAAAACAAAGGAATGTCCAAACAGTGCGGGGACAGAATTTTCTGCAACTTTGCAGCCCTGTGTGTTGTTTGCTAAGTGCATTTTGATTTTCTAGTGTTAATATTCAGCTGACATTACTGAGAAGGTTGCAGAGCAGCCTTTTGGGGAGTAAAAATATTAGAAAACAAATTACTTTGGCACAGTCACGGCACAGCACAGTCCCAACTGAGTTCAGTACATATACATTGACAGGACGTGGACAGCACAATGACTAGCTCAGACTATCTATAGCTCCCCCACAACATGTGAGATTGGCCACAAGAGGATAGAATGTCTGTCTGGAATAATCCAGAACTATTACACATATTAAAAAATAAAATAAAATCTCTCAAGGTCTTTTCTTATCCTTTGTCCTTGACACTTTCAGGCTTCTACGCTACGCATGGGAATGTGAATTTTGGACTTCAACATTTGTTCAGAATCATGTTCCAAATACAGAAGCACAGACAGAGCTATGACACTCAATTAGGTATTTGTTGTTGCTGTAATAATTGATATTTATTACAGAAGACATTTTTCTAGGCACTACGCTCTAGTTTTCAGCCAGGTTTTCATACACCTACAGCAATCAGCAATCACCTTCAGCCAGGTCATACATCTACAGCAATCTCTAACCTCAGGGCAGGCACACTTCAGGCAGGAATGGGGAACTGCGTGACTGACCAAAGGTACAGAAAGTGCAGGTGATCAGCAACATACTGTTTTGTTCCCTTGCAGAATTAAGTCATTCTGGTACAAAGTTTGTGAAAACACGCTCAGAGCAGGGCTGGAAGGTGGTAGTGTAGACAGGATAAAGCTGTAGTCATGGAACTTGCCTTTGTGTGCAAACTGAATGCGGACAAACAGCCCCTAGAGAACTAATTTAGAAGTGGTGAACTCGTGCCACCTGGTGGATTCCAGCTCACCCCTAACCCACAGAAGCCAGTTACAGCAGATTTCAATCAACAGCAGACGTGCATCAGGAAAGGAGGAGATGCAAAGCTCAGGTGTGTTTCTGTGTCTTTCAGCGCCAGCCGGCTGAGCGAGGAGGCGCGGAGCAAGGCGCGCAGGAAGTGCAGCGCCGTGCACAGCCTCAAGGACAGGTGGCAGGAATGGGCCGACCAGCACATCATAACGCAGAAGCTGAACCCCTTCAGCGAGGAGTTTGACCACGAGCTGGCCATGTCCACGCGCCTGCACAAAGGGGATGAAGGGTACGGCCGCCCAAAGGAAGGCACCAAAACTGCCGAGAGAGCCAAGCGAGCTGAGGCGCACATCCACCGGGAGATCAGGGACTTGTGCTTCATCATCGAGTCCATGGCCAAGCCGCGGCCCGACGGCAAGATCCAAGTCACTTTTGGGGAACTCTTCGACAGATACGTTCGTATTTCAGATAAGGTTGTTGGGATTCTCATGAGAGCCAGGAAACATGGGTTGGTGGACTTTGAAGGAGAAATGTTATGGCAAGGAAGAGATGATAATGTCATCATTACTTTATTAAAATAAGTTAGGCTATAATCAGAACAACTTTGGAAAACTTTTCTCTTCTCCCTTGCCATTAGCATTTGCACATTTTGAACATAAGGTTCCCTTGTTCACCACAAAGAAAAGTGTATTTTTTGAAATATGCATTTTATAACTAGTGCATGAAAACCCAAACACCCAAATGGACTTCATTTTGTACCAGAAGTGCTTTCAGGACAATTAAGTTAATTACTACATTAAAAAAATAAGGAGAAAAAGCTATATGGAATATAAGCAGCTGATGATAAAAGTCCATAGCAATATAAATAGCTACAGGAATATGAAACATGTCAGATCAGAAGCTGAATGACAAAATAAACTCAGACAAAGGTTTTGATCTGAAAAATGCTCTTGTGCATGCACTTTCTAATTAATTTATTTAAATACCAGTAAAATTACCTTATTTTAATACAGAATCAAAGATACATTTTTTTCTTTACAAGCACAATACGTAACTATCACTGCAGTATTCTCTTGTTGATACAACTGTTGACACAGCTTTCTCTTACATGTCACATAAAAAAAATCTTTTTATAAATGGGGTTTTATATATTTATTGTATTTATATAACTAATTTTTTAGATTATTTCATATGTAAACTTATGGAGTTTGGAATGTAATGAATAAAAATGTTTTGATTAGATAGCTACCTAAAAAATACCTTCTATGTAATGTTGTGCAATGTCTTATCTGATTATCTATGCTGATACTGTTCTTATCAATACAGGGAAAAATAATATGTAATATATAAAAACTAGCCAGGTACTTGTACTTTTGTATACAGCAAAAAAGTGACTAACATCATCATATTCCATTGAAATGTACCTCTGTGAAAAAAGAGAAACAGCATTCATAACTTTGAGGAAAATGTTGTTCCACATTACACAGAAATACTGACCTAATTTTACAGTATTTGCCATTTCAATGTCACTAAAATAATGTATTTCAGTCCAGGTGATGCTAGAGAGGACTAGGTGCTAATGAACGAATAGTTTTAGGACTTAAAATTGTATTATTCACAAATCTGAGATCTCTGTAAGGTCTCTGCTACTTGCTGGATTAGAGAGATCAGTTTCTCTACCACTGTAAAAATAGATATCCTGGTAAAATGTGTGTACTTCACAGGAAAAGCATTTGTTTCAGAGCAGATGCCTGGGCAAGTAATGAAAAAGAAGTGTTTTTTTCCCCCTTAATATTCTTTCAAACTGAAAAAACAAATATCTTCTTAGAGAAGTAGAGGTGTATTAATATCTTGTCTCTGATAAAATAAATATTGCTGTCTTATTATGAGTACAGGTACTCCAGTTTGAAGCTTTGTTGTATAAATAAATCAAATATTTTATAACTTAATGATACAAGAACTGACTACTACATCTCTTCTAAATCTATGTAAATCATTAATACTTAGGCATAGTTATATGACTCTACAGAAGAAAAAATTGTAAGATGGAATCATTGGAGATTATTTAATTTTTCCTGAGATCTCTTGGACTACTCAAGCTGACCTACAAAACTGATGTCTTAGTGTAATACTTACATATAATAATTTTTACCTGCATATTCTTGCCTTATTCTTTACATCTTTATATAAAGACCTTTTATAGCTGTCTAAATTGTCTTGATAAAATTTTGTTGTCAAAGGAATACATGAACTCCTTAATTATTTCTTGAGTTATTCTCCCACACACTAGGAAACAAATACATGTGCACATTCAATGAAGTAAAATATCAGTAAGTTGCTTCAAAATATAAGCATACATATATTCTCCTTTTCATAGGCTGTTAAAATATTTCCTCTGAAGGTTTCTCTGTCCAAAGCACCAGAAAAAGATTTCAGAGTACATGGCAACAGACCTTATACAAAACACCTGCACAAAAAATACACACTAAAGGCATATAAGTATTAAGTGAATTAAGCTCATCGATTGGTAGCTCACTGCAGGTAATTTAAGCCTCCTATTCAGTCATCCCAGCGTTAAAATCTACACAAAATAAACCAAACTCCTAACTTTATCTTATTCTTCCCCTCAAACTATTTTATTTCCAATCAGATGAGAAAATCACAGGACATAACTAGTATTTTTTCTCATAGTACCCTCCACTATTTACCTTTTTGTAGGCAGCATCATGCAAAATTTCTGAAATAATTTACCATTTTTGTCAAAAAGAAATATTAAATGTTGATATAAGTAATGGTGCTGGAAGCATTTCATGTAGGTTATATGCTTTAGAGCATTTTTTACATTTAGTTGTGTGACAAATTTATCCATGGTGTGGAAGATAATAAATCTGACCACACCAAAAAACAAAACCAAAAGTACTCCCTGAATTACCCACCCTAACTCTCCTACTATACTGTGTTACATTCTTGTGAAACTAGCACAACCTCTGCCAAAATTAAATATTTTAATTTTAAATATTGAAATATTTAATATTTAAATTTAAAATATTAAGCAAGTCAAAACCTGCTTCATTAAAGCAGTCTCTGTAAATTTTTATTTAAATCCTGCTTTCCTAGTTCTGACCTGCTTTGAAAATAAAACCTTTAACCTTTGAGACAATGAGCAACTCTCAGCTACTCTCATGATGGCTTGTAGTTGCACTTTCTTTCCTAAATACTGTATTCACTCCCACAATGTTTTACTTGAAACAGAGGCCCTGCACTCTCCTGTCTGAAGCTAGTGTTGGTTTTGCACATCCTTGGTAGTGAAAAAATTCTATCTTCTTCTGTAGCAACTTTGATACATTTTTCATATTCTAATACAAAGTTTAAGTGACAGCATGAAACTTGTATCAGAAGAAATAAATTTGACTTTTACACCTTTGCATTTTTCCAAGTCTTACCACAGTGGCTTGAAGTGAGTGGAAGGTTCATTGGACATGTATCCCACCCAGCAGAAATCAGCTCCCTCCTCCACAGCAATAATTCCTTCTTTACAAATGTTTCTGTACAAGCAAGGTTCAGTAATACAGCGCATTTTTAAAGCAGGGGAAGGCTATTGAAATAAAATGAACTGTAGTGAAGAGCATACTGTTCATGGAGATATGGTCAATCATCACTTATCACAGAACAGATAGCGGCAGGCCCTCCTCCCACAGCCATTTCAGCTGCTATGTACACATTGCACTGCCCCAACATCTCAACTAAAGCCACTGCTGACACCTCAGGGCATGAAGCAGTTTAGCATTTAACAGCACGTGTTATTAGCAGTGAATTATCACAGGAGAAGACGAACTACGATTACACAGCTGGTAAGGTAAGCAGGAGAGCAGAAAGCAGAGCAGGCACTTCTGCAGAGACAGCCAGCAGGACTGGCTTGCACACACTACCGAGTGTACACCATTCCCTCAGCTGGACAACTCCTCTCTCTGCTACAGAAGCACAGTGTAGCTCTCTACCACTGCAGTAGAACATACTCTTTAAGAGGAGAAAGTGGAGTTTTGTTCCCTTAATTGAGCTCCAAATGGCAATGACAACAGCAAAATACCCTGATGACACTTGCTGTTTTATGAAGGGAGAACATATCAGTGTGATATAAGATGCAAATACTGAATGAAGAATACAAGATTATTTTTTTATTTGAAGTCGAAGGAATAGTCAATGTTCTTACTCATCTTCCAAGAGCAAATTTTACACATGCATTATAATTCCCATACAAAAAATTAACTCTAATGCAATATAAACAGGTGAGCAGGAAGATGCAAGCACAAGCTCTAAGCCATAAATTATGACCTTTCTGCAGATTACACAAAAACAGTAACTAACAGAGATAGGATTTAGAGCCAAAAGGTGTTAATTGAAAAATTCCATGTTTGGATCCCAGGCACCCAAATAAAAAATCAAGTTACTCAATGAATCCATCTAAGTACTGGATGCTGAGACACGCTCTTCTGGCAGTCAGCTCCAGATAATGGGTCTCATAAACCTTCAGGGAATGTCAAACTTTCAATGCTTTACAATCACAGAAGCAAACCTTTCCAAGAAAGATGGAAAGGAATTCTACTGCAGAAAAAGGATAATGAACTGAAGGCAGAAGGGACATCAAGAATGTGCTTCTATGTGTGTCATACAGAAATTAACTATACCTCTGATGATAAAATTCATGGTCTTGCCTAAATAGACATGCACTACTTTCTATAGATCCTTTACACAGTCAGTTGCTTCGCCAAGTATTATTGCTACAGTCACTTATGCTTTAAATCAAATGTTCTTCTATTTCTTAACCAATTTAGTATTTTATAAGCATGATTGCTCATTTATTGCTAACTAAACATTATCCTTTATTTCTACTTTTTTGTTTCCTATTTGCTTGTCCAAGACTGCTCCAATACCTGGCAACATTCAGCCACTGAAGACTTTTGTGTGCTTTCATTAATTATTCAAATTATACTTATTTATAAAATTCTTCACACCACTCTCTAAAAAACTAAAATATGCTTTATTTGCAATATGAGATTAGGATAGAGACCATGCAGTTGAATTAATGTTTTTATCAGCAAGGATGATCTGAGACTTTTCTTTTTCCCCTCTCCTTCTTCAAAATGGTTGAAGACAATTTATTTCATTCACATTGCTTTCCATGGGGCCTTAAAAAGCCCCAGAAATGTCAAAAAAGATGAGAAAATGCATCCTATACATTCAGTTGTTAAATGAACAGCAAAACCCAGCATTTGTGCTTCTACGTAAACTTGACCTTCTAAATAAACTCCAACTCAAGTTTATTTTTACATATATTTAGATTTATTTGCTATACATCACTGTGAGCTTATAGTACTTGAAATCCATTACAGGATTTTTTTTTTTGTTGTAATAATCAGTTGTAACTCCACAAAGACAATAATACTGCTGTGGAAGACCAAAGGGGAGAAAAGCCATTTCAATTTATTTACAGTTCCTTATTTTGTAAACATTTACTCTACACATTGTACTAAGTTCTAAGAAGGATAAAGAGATATACATAGAGACAGGAAACAGAGCCCTGTTTTTCTATTCATATTGAGCATTAGCATACTATGGATGAAACATCTGCCCTTTCTCGTTACCATAGCAGTAAGCTGTCTTCAAATAAGTTTTTGTTTTAACTTTCCAGAAATGTAAATATTTTGAAATATACAACTACATCTACTAGCCAACCCATTTGGCTTTTATTCCATTTCTAGAATAATTTAAAGTGCTATAAGCAACCCGTCAATCAACACTTTTCTATAATAACAAAACTACTTTAAACATTAATTTACAAGATAATATACAATGTTTGTCTGAAATAGCTGAAATTTCAGCACAAAGTCAGTCACTGTCACACTTAACAGCAATTTTTTTGTTC